AATCCATTTAATGAATTAGAAAAAAACGCTCATTCTTGGACTCCTGTGCATTTTTAAAATGGTCTCGTGCACTGTTTAAAAAAATCACGAAATTAAATTTTCCTCCACTGCGAAAAATTAGAAATGTCCAAAAAATATACCATAATAACAAATAAATTCTTCTTCAGAATACTTCAAAAAAAGCACGTTCAAGTGAAATGGAGAGATTTGGATTTTCAAAAGTAACTTTTTTGTTATTCATAAGAAAAAGATTGTCCGATTTAAAAATTAGATAGTTATTTACTTATAAATTTAGCGCATGATAATCCGATTCTTAGGCTAGAAGTTAATAAGAGTAATTCAGTTCATCATTTTTCCGGCTGTACAAATACTTCAAATTTCAAATTTCTCAAATTTTGATTACTTGTGGGTTGAGTCTTTCTTCTGTAGAACGTTTCATATTGTTTCACCCTTTTCATACTCTTTCTTATTTCTCCAGCTTTGGCTGATAACTAGGCTTGAATGCTTGCTTGCACGATATTAGTTTAGATTATTATTTTAAAAATAAAATTAAATTGTTAGAGCTGCATTCACAAAATCATCTAAAATTCACAAGTTTCACCAGAAATTTTTCTTTATCTCGAATAAAATAAAAAATGAAATTATCTAAGGAAAAGAAAGAAAATAAATAAACTGTGAACATATATAATTATGAATGATCGCACAATATCACTCATTTATTATGCATTCATAATTGCAATTCATAACTTTTAAAAATAATGCTTATTGAAAGGAAACTATTCGGAGAATAATCTAAGAAATCAGCATGATTTTAAAATATCTTAATTCTCTCAGTTGGCAAAGAAATAACACCCAAGTATCGTATCTTCCTCACAATGATTTTTTTTTCTTTCTGATCTACGATATCGATACGGGGAAAAAAACTTTTCGCATATTTTAAACTGATTGATTAGGTAAGTGCCATCAAAATTTTATTAAAGAATTAAAATTTAAAAGCTAGATTCTTTTACATTTTTTGTATATTATTTTTGATTTTTAATTTACGGATGTGATATTTCGGTCTAGACAAGTGAAGTATTGTTCACTACGGAACTTTTCACGCTAAATTAAATGAGATTAATCAGAAGTCAATAGAACAAATAGATCAGAAGTTATTAAGATTTTTACGAGTATGTATAAAAATTACTATTTTTGAATTAGAATTTTTATTTAGAACCAGGCGATTTATAGCCCAGGTGAGTGAGGTATGGATTATTATCAGTTTTGCTTACGAGACCGAATTTACGAATTACGAGACGAATTGAATGAGACCAAACTCAAGTCGAATAGCTTATATATAGTAAGGATTTAATTCATAAGATATTCATATGTTGTGCAATTATAACAAGAAACAATTATTCATCTCCCATTTAAACCCGTTATGTTCGATCGTACCGTTTTTTACCGCTTACTAACAGGAAGATACTAAACTGTTTTTCTCTGGTTAGAACTGCCCCAGGTTCAAATAGATTGCTTATTTTTACAGTAATTGCTCGGTTGTATAAAACTACGTTAAACGTGTTTGCTAGTTTCAAATTTATTTGCCAAATACAAATTCACATGGGCTTCATAATCATTGCACTAATCTGACTGTGTCCCAAGTAATTTATCGCTAATTTGACAACCGAAATACATATAAATATCAACTTTTGAAACTATAAATTTCCTTAACCATATCAAAGTAAGCATTTTCAAATTTAAATTTAAATGGAGTAGTATTTATATTGTTATACTAAACATGTAAAAAATAGGATCTACATTAGAACTAAATGAAAATAGTACTTTTTCCAAAATATAAGCCATCAATAATAGAAGCAGTCTTAATTGAAGGAGTAAAAAGCGAACTAGGTAAATTCATTTTCAGCCTTTTTCATTTGATAGCAGTTGATGTGAACATATAAGGTAATTTTCTTTTTCATAATCTTCTTTCATTAAAAAGTTATTTATAATTATTCGATGTGACATTAATAAAGCATCAATGAAACATTTTACAATACCTTGAAATATAGAACATTTAAATTAGACAAAATTAAAATAAACGTTTTATTTTTCTATTTCCTCTTTTTAAAAAAATTGCAATAGTTGAGGAACTTATTAAAATAATTATTATTAGAATGTTAGAATTTTATAACCTTCATATACAGATCAATTGATACATAGCTAGGTAATAGATTCATAGATTAAATTGTTTATTTTTAGTTACTAAAATAAAAGTTACAGAAAAACTTCATTTTGTGTTTCATTCTATATTCAAATATTTTGGTAATATTCTTAATATTTTTAACTTATTAACAAGTGAATAATTTCATCTGATTATCAATTCAAAACCATGTTGGAGTTGCACACGTATAAACTTGACTTTTGCATATCCTAAATTTCAAGCTTGTCAAAATTTTTATGATTACTATTCTTCTATATTTTAATTATACTTTTTGTGAAAAAAATATATATTGTTAAGAATTTTTTTAAAATAAAAATGAAGTGCTTTTATTATTTTTTCGATATATATTTTATAAATATATTGAAATAGTACGACTCATCAAATAAGTTTTATTTTTAAAAAATGACGGGCAGTTCTATAGTAATTTTTCCATGTTAATCACGTTTCGTTTCGGATCCAATTACTAAACTCACATAGGAAATTAAATACCATTCTTTCAAAAAGACTTAAATAATCCAGTGAACAATTAGCAATGGTTATATCACTATTAACTAAATCTTTGCATCACTTTATTTTAATAAATTAATTATGCCATAGCTTAAGTCCTAGTACAAATCGAAAATGCACCGCACTTAATACTGTAATTTTAATTTGATTTGATTTTTCATGCTCATTAAGACCCTACTTATAAAGTTAAAAGTTAATTAAGAAAATCAAAGAGTAAAAAGAAACATATTATATTAACAATTTTACATATGTAAGCACAAAAACTCTTCTATTTCATGCCAACATTGTTATGAAAATTCAATTGCAGCTACGAAAACAATGCAAAAAAACGCAAATAGTGTACTTTTGAAAGAAAGGTAATCACCTCTGCACAGTGATTGAAAAACACAGAATGTATTTAAACAGTTATAAAGTGCTTCTCATAGTACCGAAACATATTCTTAGAGCTGCGTTGACGTAGCAGAAAGAGCCCTCGCCTGCCAGCGAAGTGACCCAGGTTCGAATCGCAGGCTGATTGATAATAATTCTGCACCTGACTACCACCGACTACAGTGCTGACGTAAAATATCCTCAGTGTTAGGCGGATAGCGGATTAGAATCCCCTTGGCGTCGGGCTAACCGTAGGAGATTTTCGTGGCTTTTCCTCTCAATTTAACGCAAATTCGGATTAGTTCCATTAAAAAGTACTCCACGAAGACTAATTAATCCATGAGTTCCCTTGTATTCTGGGATGGGCTTAAAATTTCTAGAATGCATAGTATATAACTATATATGAACTATTGGAATAAATAAATTTGTTTTTACTGAATTGTCTCTTTGTTTCAGAGTGATATATTAAGATTAATACTGGATTTCACACTGATATTTCCTTGTGATTCAAACTATATTAAGTCCAATAAGTTTAAATTTAACTCTACAATTATTCAATTTTCAAAAGTCTTCCACGAAAACTAATTTATCCCAATGCTTGATCGAGGAGTTCCCTTGTATTCTGGATTAGGATCAAAATTTGCTAGGATACGGATTTGAAAGTTAATAGTCGTAAACTCAAAATTGGGTCGGTTGTTCAACGTCGGTTATAAAATTTTAAAAAAACTACATCCTTTGTGTGTTTTTATGCATTGTGTTCATATTTTTTTTTAGTAATTTAATACAAATTTACCCCTTGTTCTTTATAGAACACGATATATATTCATTAGGTCGTAATTCATTGAGCTTAGTTTATTAAACTTAAGTAAAACTTAATTTTATTACAACTTGTAAGCCAAGAGCTTAAAGATTTATCTATTCCTCTTTCACGTGAATATTTCCATTAAATTCTTTTGCAATAGTTCCTCTTCACGAAATATCTCTTTGTTTAGTTTAATCTATGATTTTAACTATTTGGTTAAATAACAAGATACAAATACACTCTCAAATTATCTACAAAAGCGCATTCTTTTCTTTTCTCCTTCAGGATTAAGCAAAAGACATACATTTAAATGATTTAGTGCTCTGAAGTTTTTGAAGTTATAAGATGGATAAAAAAGTTAAATAAAGTTATCGTTGTTTATCAAATTTTTATAAGAGATTATTGAAAATATTAGGAGTTCGAGAAGATTTTAATACAAATTACAAATTACAAATTATATCTTAATTTTCGAGGGAAAAACTTCATTAGTTTCAAGAATTATGATGGCAAAAGTGGATATGTTTTGAGCGCTCCAAGTAAATTTCTCATTCACGTGTAAGTTGATCTTAATATTAGAAGCCTTATTTTGAACGTTCGATGCAGTTTTCATCTTAGTTTTTGAAGCAAATGACATTTTTTTTAATTGATAAATATGCCCCTCCTCTTTAATTTCGTGGGATTATTAATTTCATGTTATGAACGTGTTTAAGGTTAAAGTTACATTTGGTAAGAGTTTATCACATACGTAGGGAAAATAATATTATTATTCGAAATTTTATTTAAAACAATAAAATTGCTCTTTAAATGTTATCTATTAAAAACAAAAATTTGAATTGTAAGAAATTTTTCAAAAGATATGATTTTTGTCGATAAAATACATAAATATTGATCTCTGTTGATTAATTAAATTTGCAAACAGAAAAACCTTTGAACACATTTTATAATAACGAAGTAGTGATTGCATGCATTCAATCATAAAGACATAAGATTAAGAATTCGTTATTGCAATTATTGAAAGTGTTTCCGACATTATTCTCGTAGCTAGTAGTGTGCTAAGATAAAACAATTTGATTCATTTTGAAGCACAGTCTATATATTTTTTTTAATTATCATTTATTTTAGGCCGACTGGTCGCAGGACCTCAGGAAATATACAAGAGCGTCCTTTTGGAATGATGGCGGAAGATCAGGGAAAAGGTTTCGATTTTGAAAGAACTGAAATGAAATACGACTCGACGGGAATGTTTCATTGGTGTCCAGCCCGACAAATCGAAGATTGTATATTGGTAATTAAAGTAGTACACTTTAAGTTTTGTCCCTGCTTTTAGAATAATGAGTCTTCACCTTTAGCTTTTTGTTATCTTTTTCAAATTTCCATACAATTCGGAGTATTACGGGTTGTGATGCCACAATTGGCATTACATATTTATTTTCGATCCTTTTAAAATATCTTTCATTGCTTAAGCTGATTTTTATTAATAGAAATTACTTTTAAAATAAATCAAAGACTTAATCTTTTAAAATGAGAAGAAAATATTTATTCGTCTTTTGCATAGATCAATGTAACGGATACTTTTTATTTCATTACACGAGCTCTTTTCTTTGAGATAAAGGCACTATTCCCGTAATTTTGTCTTTTAATTTATACGCGGTTTTTATATGAAATTGTCTAACTCAATTTGAGGGTGAGCATCAGTCTCCGTGGTCGCTAAAGCATCAGTCTACGGACACAGGAGACCCAGATTCGAAAACAGTCGGTGCCAAGGACATTTCTCTCTCACTTCCTTTGCATTGATGACTACACAGACAACGAAAACGCAACTCTGAAATTCCTCGACAGACGACAACACTACATTACTGCTCCCCTAGGTTCGCTTTGATTCGACAAATAAATTGCTTAATCTCAAACAACGTCAAAGCCCGAACTTAGACAACTTTTACGAGAATAAAAATGATTTACGGTCGGTATTTATACATTTGACGAGAAAAAATTTACGGGTAGACCTGTATTTTTATGGTCATGATAATTATACGGACATAAAATTATTTTTACGGTCAGTGATTGAAACACTTTTTGCTAGTCCTTAATTTAGAGGTGACTTTTTTTAGACTGATCCGTTTGGTTCTATTTCATTACATGTTTTTTTACGGGATATTTTGTTTTATATATCAATTCATATATTGGCTAATATGAATGATGCACTCGATATGATAAGTGACCAATGTCCGATTGCCAGAGAAGGCCGATTAATTCGTATACTCCCCCAGAATTAATACTACCATAAATTATTTCCAATTGTTGATAAATTATGGTTTAAAGTAAGGAAAAATAATAAAGAAATTGAACAATTGTTTAAATAAAGAAAAGAAATAATAGAAACATCAGGAATATTTTATACGTCACTAAAATTTTGCCAAACCTGTTTTCGGTCAGTTCTTCTTTTGCTACATTGTTGAAATAGTTGTTTTTTCTTGTATCTAGGATCGAAATCAGGCTGCCATGACAGTGCTGAATGGTCACGTAGTCCTGTGCCTCTTTGCAGACAAAGATTCACCCTTAATTGGCCTACGAAACCTCGTGATGCCGTTGAGGGCGAGTAACTTCCATTATCACGAGCTGAAGCACGTTGTCATCGTGGGTAACGTCGATTACCTACGAAGAGAGTGGAAGATGCTTCAGAATCTACCCAAGATATCAATACTTAGTGTGAGTAATCTATCGATCCCGATAATTTATTTAACATGGATCTAAAATGACCGTAATTCTGGCTTTAAATCAAGAAGTGTCTTGTGTTACAATTATAAGCATCATGACTCATACTCTTTGGAATTTGAAACGCGTGTTGTTAGAGTTTTTTAAAGAAAAAAGACAGTCGCAAAAATTTTGTTTTCAACCCTAAATAGCTAAACTTAAATCAGTGTCATGTTGTAACTAATTATTCAACTGATTGACCACAAATGAAAAACAAGCGTATTTTTATATGCCCTTTATTTATTTCAAACAAATTAGCGTAACTTAAAAAAAAGTATTATAATGTTTCAATTAAAAAGTTGAAATAAGGAAAAAATTATCCTTTGCTCTCTTGGCATTTGTTAATATTGTGCCAATGGCCTTGTTGTGGTAGTCTATGTTGTAGCATGCGTATTTTGTCCATCAGCGTTCATAGATGGACATTAAAAAAGCATTTAGGATAGTAATGAAATATAAGAAAAAAGAAAAAATGCACACAGTGGTCGATTTGCATGATCTAACTAAACATTCGACTGTTCGACGTCTATTGCAGCAAATCCCGAAAAGTAATAAGTGTATCACATTCGGATTACTCATTTTACTAGTTATGAAGGTATTGTGAGTGAGGTAGTGTGAGCGTAACGGTAACATCTCTAATTCGCAAAACTGGCAGGGTATCATTCGGCGAATCTACTAATCATTCGACGAATGATTAGTTATCTAGGGCTGAAAAATCGTAATTGGTAGATCATAACTTATTTATCAATTACATGAACTTAAAATGCTCCTAAATCTAGCTGTTTCTCAAAAAGTATCTTGGGGTACAATTATGAATTTCTATTAAATTATTTTGCAGAAGTTCCTCGTTACTTAATATTTCCTAGTTTAGTTTAAGCGCAACGATTTTTAACTATTTAGTTAAATTAAGTAAATACAAATACATTTTGAAGTTTTTTTTTACAGAATGATCTCTTTGTTTTAAAGTGACGTATTAATATTTAGGCAAGATTTCACACAAATTATATTTCCGTGTAATGCAGACCTTATTAAATGCAATAAGTTCAAATTTAGTTGCAGACAACTCTACAGTTATTCAATTTGCAATTCACAATTAAGAGCATAATTTTCAAAAAATTGAAATACGAAATTTATTGTATTTATACTTCTTTTTTGCAATATTTAACTATCTATCAACTTATCAGCATTTCCGAAAATAACAGGTTTTTGAAAATTAAAATTTTTTAAAAAAATTGATTCAACTTAGTAACTGAATTATTATTTCTGAAATTACATGTGATATTTGGATATGAATTGGAAGAAGCTCCGTTTCATTTTTAATTGCATAAGTTATCAACCTATTTGAATTCCAAAATCCATACAAATTTGATAACTGATTCAGCTTATTACAACATCCATGCATTTTAGAAAACCCGATGTGTCTTTATTCAGTTAAAATTACGTTAAAACAATGTTGAAGAGTCGCAAATCGTAAAATCCCTTATTAAAATTTAGTGTTTCGGTGGCACATTTGAACACCTTCATCAATAAGATAAATGGCAAGGATGGAAAAAAAATTGATGATGTAATTCAAGAAAGATTACATCACCAGATAATTATACAGTAAAAAGTAACAACATTAAAATGACATTAAGTGTTAGAAAATTAAAAAAATAAATGATTTCCAAATATTTGTGAAACATGGCATAGCATCAAGATCATCAACACTAGAGTTCTACTTTGATGATATGTAAACTCTCCCAGAAGTCCAGGTCAACGCATTAAATATATTTATGAATGATATGAGGAATGAAAAACTCTAACCTATGACATTCTGTCCAGAAATGTTTTGCGATAGATGAACGGTGGAGTTACTGATTCCTGACGTAGCTTTGATGTTCATTGAGACGACGTTTGAGCATACGTTTAACTTGCCCTATGTACAAAAATTCACATTAACATGAATTTTTGTAAATTATCCAATTGTTGAAGTAATCGATAGATTATATTAAGTTTGAGACTGAATATTTTTATTTTTTAACTCCATATTTATCCTGTTGGTGTGGCACAACCTCTGTCGAATCACATCATCTCTGTTTTACCATTCCTTTCTTTTATCCTACTGATGAAGGTGTACTAATGTGACAACGAAACGCGTATAGGCTTTAATAAAAGATTTTGCTATTTGTGATATTTAAACGCTGTTTTCAATGAAATTTCATTTTATTCACAAAATATTACTCTTGCAATCATTAGTACAACTGCTGATATTTCCATAGGGATCTCCCCTTAGCCGAGCTGATTTACGTGCTGTAAATATCAATCTGTGTGATATGTGCGTTATCCTCTCTGCCAAAATTCCTAGCTCAGAAGATCCTACCTTAGCTGATAAAGAAGCGATTCTAGCATCTCTCAATATTAAAGCGATGACATTCGATGATACTATAGGAGTTTTAACAGCACGTAAGTATCAAAAAATATATTAAGTCAATTTACACTGTCAGAAATTTTAGAGCACATTAAACTACAAACTACAATCTTCAGGAACCATAGTAAGATGTTAAATCGAATCCTAGTATCATGCAAATTAAATCATCTTAAACTTTTCTTTATTTCTAATGGCAGATTATTGACAGTAACAACATACATAAACATCTAATAAAAATAAGAACAGAAACAAAGTCTATTAATCACAACATGTCTCTAGCTTCCCAATAGCGTTCAGTGATAGAATTCTTGCAAAGTGCAGAGCAGCGGAGAAGGTGTGTGGAGTTCATGTCCTTACCAGAACTACAAAGAGTACATACCGGGGAAGGAACGATAACAAATCAAGACAGATGTTTCCGCAGACAGTCATGACCGGTGGCCGAATCAGAATTCAGTCACCGCTCTTCGTCTTAGGCCATTTGCCAATTGGGCCAATCTTAAACTTGATTGCACGATATTATGATTCGACTTGAACGTAAACAGGAACATCATTCGAACAATTTTTTAAGGTTGCCGGTAGCAGATATTGAATTCATTCTTTTTTTAAATCAAAATGACGCTGAACTTTAATAAAGTACCAAGTTGAATAGTATTATCAAACAAATTTATACACTTAAAGTTGATTACGCAACAGTGTGATTCAACTTGAATGGAAACATGGTTCAATTGGAAGCATGCAAGTGACATCGATGTGGAAAAATTGCGTCATTTGTTTATACCACGAGTCTGCAACCCATCAGGTTTGTCAGACATGCGTTACGTCACTTGCAGATATCCTATTGAATCTGTTCCAAGAATTGATTTTAAACCAAACCTAATAGCTGTAACGTTAACACGCACTGCACAACTACGCGATTTGGTTCAACATGAGTGGAAACATGAATCAATTCAATACTTTTTAAGGTTCCAGGAAATTTGAAAACTATTATGGCTTAAAGTACCGGTATTAAGGTTCAACATTGAACCGATATTTTTAAAGGCAATGAAATATGATAAGGCTTCATCAGTTGTTTAGATTCTTATTAACAAAAAATCTCAACATTCAAGATTGAATACCATCTAATTTTGTAACCACGCTTGTTGAACCATACAAAAGAAATTCTGAAACTTGCATTATAATGGTAGCATGTTTCGTAAATAATATAAATTTACAAAAGACAGGTGAAGCATAATTTTTCTTTTTCATAAAAAAATATGTAAAATTTAATGCAATGGCTCATTAAACAGACTTTTTTTTCTCTTTTGAAATTTCTGACAATAAAAAAAAACAAGTTTGACTTAGGGAAAAAAAATAAATATTTTGCCCATTTTAAAGCATTACTGAATCCTTTTCTTTCAGATGAATCGGGGCGAGATGGAATGTCTCCTTTGGGTAGCCCCATTGTCCTTCAGAGAAGAGGATCCGTTTACGGAACTAATGTCCCCCTTATTACAGAGCTCGGTAAGTTCCCTCCAATCAATATATGTAAATCTCATCTGTTTTTGTTTTTTTACGGATAGTATACCAATTAATAAACTAGTTAGTATCGAAACACTAAACTAGTTGTTGGGGAGAGTTGTTATCGGTAATGTCAACTTTCATCTATGAAAAGGTACCCCAACATAGAATCGAGTTAGCATGCCTTATATACTAGTGAATTGGATTTGTATAATCGTAGTGGTTGACACACTACAGTACTCCCCCACCAGAATTATAGCTGTGATAGAATTCAATGAACGGATACCACTAGTTGATTCATTGCTGTTTTGTGAGAGGCCGGGAGAGCTGTATTAAGATCACCGTACTTTTTGCTGATCGTGAGAGCTGTATTAAGTTAAGGTCGCTCCTGTGTTGCCATTAGCAGTCGAGTGTATGCAGGCCGACGATGAGTTTGATCGAGACTAAGTAGCAACATAGCGAGGAGGTGGATAATGTCACAGTCACAAGTAGCAAGTCAACTGTTCAGTGTGGATCATTAATCGAAGTAGGCGTGTTCAGATCGAAGTGGGCGTTACTGTCAAGATAGGTGTGTTCATTTCGGAATGGGAATTTCTGCCACGTCAGGCATGTTCACATCACGTCAGAAGGTCACCAAATGTGAGGAAAGACCATTAAACAATGTAAACCTTCTTCTATGAAAAGGTAGCCCACCATAGAATCGAATTAACATGCCTTATATACTAGTGAATTGGATTTATATAATTGTAGTGGTAGACGCACTACATAGTTAATAATAAAGCAAGTTTTAACAGAAATACTTTTAAGTTTATTTAAAAACGAAACTGTTTTAAACAATGAAAACTGTCTTTGAAACATTTCCCAAAAACTTTTTCTATTTTTCTTCAGTAAAATATCTGATGTTAGCGATGGTTGTTAAGTCACACAATTTGTAATTGATATAGTATCTAATTAGCTCACGTATTTTGTTTAACACAGAAAAATATATGATCTCGTGCGTAATACTACTTATAAGTAGAATAATAATAAATTATTTTTCGTTACAATCTAGTAAATGATACCAATGTGCAATTTCTGGATCAAGATGACGATGATGATCCTGATACTGAACTCTATCTGACTCAACCTTTTGCTTGTGGAACGGCATTCGCAGTTTCAGTGCTTGATTCTTTGATGAGCACGGTAAGATAAATCATTTTTGAAGACATCAGCTCTTTTCAATATAATTATTTAGTTCATTTCAATCTATTTATTGTCCAAATGAACAAGGATGATAGATTTTGATGCACATTATTAAATTTAATACTACGTGAAAATGCATAAATACATTTTGTCATCTTAATCCCTTCTTTATCGGATAAACCCCAAACACCTTCAGCTAAAGAAGGCAAAATGTATTTGTAAATTCCCCCCCCCCCTGTTCTTAACTTTACCTATTTGCTCTTTAAAAAAATATTTGATTTTTTTCGAGTTCTTAAGCATTCTGGCAGAAAAAGGGATTTTGCTTCCACAATGTTAATCCAGGGAAAATTATAAGTTCAAAATTTCCATATTTATTCAGTAACTAGTAAATATTTTTGAATAGTTTTTAATTCATTTTATTCATTGAAATGTGTTCTATTGGACTTAGTTACCGAATTTTAAATTTCAAAGACGTAAATAAATTTTAAGACTTTCTCAAAAATATAAGTTTTTTAAAATTTAAGTTTTTAAAAAAGCTTATCACGTTACATTTTTTCGAAGATTGAGGTCATGAAAAAGGGCAAGCACCTTCTTATAAAAAAATCTCTACTTTTCAAATTTTGCATCGTAAATGAAGGCATTCTCTGGTTGGAAAATTCGACTTGGATCAACAATTCTGGCTTCAAATGTCAGCAAATGATCTTCAGTATTTTTTTATACTCGGTAATATTCCTGCTGCCTTGTTACGTTCATCATCATACCCGGAGTCTGCCCACAGCATTTATTTGCCTCCACATTGCTGCCCATCTGGAGTAGGTTTTTTTTTTTTTTGTATTTTCTCATCGACTGTTTCGTTTTATATATCCTACAAAACTCCGGCTATATTTTAAAAAAATTAGCAGTAACCCATATTGAAAGCAATCCATAAGCAAAGTAGAAAAAATTGAAGAAAAGATGACCCAGGCAGTTTTGTGTGCTATTACAATAGCATGAGAGAAAATGATATTTTTTTTCTCCATTATATTGTAAGGTGGAGACTTAAGAATTGTCTGAGAAACCTTCTGTTATGGTAGAAAACGTAATCTTAACACTCTCTCAGGCAGTTTAAAAGCTGCCTATAATCAGAAAATTCTAGACATGCATTAATTATCATTTCCAAAAACAGCTGGTGGCCCAAATCTAACTTTCCAGCAGGACAAAGCCTGCACTTAAGTTCCAAATCTTCACAGTGTTGGTTTTCGGATAAGAGGATGCATGCCATACCTTACCCTTTTATCTGAACTATATCTCTAAGAAAACGTGAGTACTATCCTCAGGAAGACATATACCAAAAAGTAGCAGTTTCAGTTTGTGGCAGAATTAAAAACTACCAACATTGACACCTGGGAAAATATTGGTGCTAATGTCCTCCTGGATTTAGTAAATAATATGCAACATGTTTAGAAAACAGCATACAATATCGTATATTTCAAGTCTTATATAAACATGTCAGATAATCAATTATTATCAGAAATGCCTTAATTTCTATGGGACAGTTTTTCTCGTCTTTTTAGATATTTGGTATTTTTTTCTATCTCCAGCTTCTATCTGCATATATATATATATATATANGCACTCTGCATGTGTTGTGCGAATGCTTTGTCCTAGAAGGTTTTAATTTTTGTAATAGTCTTTTAATCTTAAATGTGATATATATATATATATATATATATAAGTAAATACTGTCGGCAAGAATATGTTACAACGTGTTAGTTTAAAACGATCGATTTATTTTAAAAACTTATTTAAAAAAAGTATCTTATGCACATCGATTACGATTACCTTTTTAATACACTTTTTCTCTCCTTTGTGCCGTTTTTTTCGTAGCATTCGACGACTTCTGGCCGATTTTTGTTCAAAGTTTAATGGGTGCTTAACCACTATTTTACTGTATCTCTGATTGAATTATAACGCGCCCGGCCGGGCATGTAAATATATATATACATACCCGATCAAAATTTTTACATGTCCCGGGCATGGCGAGCAATGCAATTTTCATGTCTTGGTAAGTTTATTAACCATAGAGTTAAAATGGTGACCCAAATTAATTCAAAAACAAATTGTTCTATTGCTGGAATATTATAGGCATGTACTAAATGAAATTGTGTATTTTAGACCTATTTCAACGCCAATGCTTTGACACTAATTCGATCCCTGATAACTGGAGGGGCAACTCCCGAGTTAGAGTTAATTCTAGCTGAAGGTGCTGGACTTCGAGGAGGTTACAGTACACCAGAATCTCTCAACAATAGAGATCGCTGCAGAGTGGGTCAAATATCGTTATCGGATGGTCCTCTTGCCTGCCATGGTGTAAGCGTTTCTATCTCATAATTTTTATGTGAGCAAATAAAAACAGTTACCATATGTTTCTTGTAAATTGGTGCTCAATCATAATATTAGACGAAAATTAAATTATGATTTTTTTTTACATTTCTCTCTCATAATGGTGAAATATAAATAACAAATACTACTCTTAAATGACTAAGTTTTATTTCAAATTGATGGAAGCATTTAGAGATAAAAATACGAGCCTACTTCTATTCTGTGCAATCCGAAAAGTAATTCATTTTAAGGCAGTAAGTTATTTTTCTAGAAAACTAATGAAAAAAGTTAGCATATGTTTCTTATAAATTGGTACTCAATCATAATATTGCACGAAACATAAATTATGAAATTGTAATTACGTCTGTTTTTTGTTACAGTTATCCAGGTTAAATTCGTTATTAATTGTCATATTCAAATTTCATTAATCACAAATGTGTGTAAATGGCTTTTAATAATTAAAAAAAAACTTAACATTTCCTGAATTAAAAAAACATAACATTTTACGCATAATCTGTAAGATAAAATAATAGAAATGTTTGGTCTGCTACCCAATAAAATATATTTTTACAATAAAATACATTTTTGAAATTTTCGTGATTTAACCACCGTTGAACTGGAAAACCAGAGGCAATCTTTTTTTTAAGCCTACTAGTGTATTTATACCAACAAAATGTAAAAAAAAAAATATTCCAAGTACGATCTTTCCCTAAAACTTCCTATCTTACTACAAATCAAATAAATAATACATGGCTTATTGTTGCTATTACATTACTTGACTAGTTAAAATTTATGTTAACCACAATCCTTAGAGATAGACTGATCATATATTAGAGACTGTCGGGCTAGCATTGGGATGTTCCGGTAGTTCTTTTCCTTATAAAACAAATGCCGATTATTTCATCTCATGAAGTCTTGTATGAAAGCATTCTTGTATCAATGTTTAAAACAGAAATTCTCCTCTTGTCTTCTAAATTGAATTTAAAATAACAAGACAACACTTAAGTCCAATTTGAACCAGCTGTTCAACGCTGGAAAAAGAGAGATTTTGCAACGTTTTCCCATAAGTCTAATATTATTCGAATTTAACTGCGCATGCGCGACACTTTCCCAACAATGCAGTATATTTGAGGGGTAGAAAATAAGGCTTGTGTTACGATTAACGTAAGGGAAACGCTAGGCAAAATCTCTCTAATAAAGTAATAAAGCAACCTTACGTTTAGTTTCAAATTAGAAAATTATACAATAACGGATTTGCTTTAAAAATTTCATTTAAAGAGCCAATTTTCATGATTATTTATTAGTTGGAATGTTCATTTCTTTAAAGTTTCAGAGGATTATAGCAAACAATTGTAATTTTAGGAAGGAGGCAAGTATGGTGAAGTGTTTGTGGCAGCTTTAAAAAATTATGGAATGTTGTGCATTGGTCTCTATCGATACAGAGATACCAGCTCCTCATTTGAAGCTTCAACAAAGCGTTACGTCATAACTAATCCACCAATAGACTTTCCTCTAATTCCTTCAGATAAGGTACAATCTTTACGAACTATAATTATGTTTTATTTTGCCATTTGAATTCAATATTATTTTGCGTTTCAAATTGCTTGATGCTATACTTCATACTCATATGTTTAATCATATAATCACGCAGAAATGACACAAACAGTTCGTATCGGAGGAACCTTGCACTCACAGAAAAATCGGTTCAACGTTGAACCATAATATCGGTATCTTGAACCATAATATTGTACAAGTTTCATGTACTTGTAAAAAAGGTGTTAAATTAAACCATGTTGCTGTTAAAGTTGAACCACAGAATTGGACAATCAAGTTATTGTTATTTTAATTTGCTTCGTAATATGTTTAATATTGTACTAAATGTACAACTTCCACCATGCACAACACTTTAGCGGATAAAGAAATAAATCTATTAGAGCAATTGTTTTTCTGATTAAAGAAAAATAAATTTAGGGAGCTCTAAAATTATAAAATGATTAAACTGAAGGTAATATGCAATTTAAATCTCTGAAATGAATGTGAAAAAAAGTGTGAAAATTATAATTTGAAATTTCATGCGTCACACATTTTTCCTGAATTCTTTTTGTGAATTGATTTTCTTACCCGTTATTCGCACATTCAAATTTAAACCTCTATGCAACCCAAAATATACCTATTTAAGAGTATTTTATGCATTGATAAGAAAATAGCTTACAAGCCAGGAAAATAGCCAAGGGAAAAAGAAAGAAGTCCCTGTAGCTTACACGCTCCGAGACTATACGTCGGCATGAGAAAGGGTGATTTTCTCCTTTCTAAGATTAATTTCATCTAAAAATTTATATAAAATCATTACTGCAATTAAATACGCTGAATTATGCAGTTTTTTCTTTTTCCTTTTTTCATTGTACTATTATAAAATATTCGTGATAATTAAAAAAATGAAAAACTTACTAAAAATATGCAAAATACTATCTAGCGAAATACAACCTGCAAACAAGAAATCTACACCAATAAGCATTCCAACTTTTTCCATGCCATCAAAGTATAAATATTAACCAAGAGAGCAGTAATTCACGTGCCCAAAACCCTCCCGAAAGAACCAAGCACGAGCAGATGTTTACATTTTAAAATCAACGAAAAAAATAGAAACCGAAAATGTATATATAGAAGGTCAACGCCTGGAGACATAATATTCGAAATTATAACGGACTTCAACTACCATTTTGTGTAGTTTAAAAATTGAAATAAAACCAATAAAATTGAAATCACGTCCGTGTGATCATGACGTGAAGGTATCGGAAAGGTTCATCTCATACGTGATACCGTGGGCCGCCAAAAGGAAAATCACCTCATCAAGTAAATGTGATTACGATCTTGAATAGGTTAATGTAACAAATATAACTTATTTAATAGTTAAACTCATTGACAGAAGTTTTCTAATATAAGTTTAAAAGTTTTCCGTGAGAAATTTGAGGTATAATATGCATTAAAATTTCACATTATCCTAATTATTAGACATAGTCCTCATTATTTTCTATGTAGGACCCTTATAGACTTAAAATGTTGGGTTAGCATTGGGAATGTTTAGATTTTTCAATATTGGAACTCGAATGACTTTCAATAGTGTACCAATATCATTTTCTATGTAGGTCCTATATAGATTTATAATGTTGGGTAAACATTGGGATGTCTAAATTTTTCTATATTGGTTCTAAATAGAAATGAATCTTGTTCCAATATCGAAAGACATTCTAGGACCAATATTGAAAAATCTAGACATCCCGATATAGGTCCCTCAGTGTATGTTCTTATGGGATCCATATTAGCCAATTTTGAGCCCAACTGGGGCAAATGTAAAATTGTGACTAGGGGTATTATCCATTATTATTCATACTTAAAGAATATTATCCACTGTAAAAGCCAGACATTATATCTCTTACAAGAAAACACTTTTCGACATAGATTTTTCAAAGAAATTTTTTTCTAACACTTTTCATTGCTTGGCAACTAAGATAAGAGTGATTTACCTCATTTAAACCAGACATTTCCCCCATGGTTGTTAAGTAACGAAATTCTTTGAGTTAAAATTTCCTCTCAACACCTTAATGGTCACTTTTAGGCCTAATATGCTAAGTTGGTGTAAATCATCTATTATTCTTTTGATAAAAAATATTGTTTTCAAAATGTTCTTTCTCATTAAAAAAGAATCTTTACACTTTTTTTAGGTGTTTGTATTGATGCAATTTGACCCTGGTCTTGAATACCAACCCAACCGAGGAGATAGAGACGATAATTCCTGACTCTTGTATTGCAGCGCCTTGACAGATGGGCCTTACTCTTTCCTCTGAACACTCGTCTACAACAGTAGAACACGTGTTCCTCAAAAGACAAACTAAGCCAATTAAAAGCTAGCTTTTGACGCCGCTTCTTCTTACACAAAAACCACAAACAAATCGGTATTCATTTGTCGCCTTAATTTTCCCAAATCAGCATATCACTTCAGCGCATCCATGGTGATGGTGATAATAAAATAGTGATGGTGATGGTAAAATATGACCCGTTAGGAAGTGATTATATTGAACTCTTCGAGAAAAATGGAAGAATCCGTTTGGAAGAAACTTCATTAAAGTTCTTCAGGTGGTGCTTGAAGACACCGCAATGATCATACATCGAAGCACTTACATATCTTAAAACAATTAAGTTTAAATATGAAATATTTTTCTTGTCTGTTTTCTGGAGAAATATCATTCGTTGTTTAAACAGACCGTAAGCGCTAACTTCAAAAGTGGTGACGGAGTAGCGTTACTGTCCATGGTGTCTTAACTTCAACTGCTATTAGTCTCCGAGACATGTATTTATATCTGTCACGGAGTACCAGAAAGATTTCTTTTACTAATGGTAATACTTATTTTTGTGCATTATCTTCAACAACAAAAATATAATTTTTGAGGTAAATGACCTCACAATACCACAATGAGTGGTTTGTTATTGAATGAAAATTGTTAAATAGCTTATGTATGCTGTTCGTTATACAGTAAAAATTTATATGTTGCGTACTTAGACAACTTAGGGTCGTTAGTAAACAAAAAAAAATACCCTGAAAACTATATTTTATTTCTACCTCTTACGACCTTGTGATATTTAGAAAGGAAGTATGACACAAAATAATTTTTTCCTACATTCCAAATATGTGTAAATTTGCAATAATGTGAAAAGATATTGTTAAATTTGCACCATTATTTGCAAGCATAAACTCAAATAAACAATTGCTATATTTTTTTTCTTCAATTTACTACCACATCTACAATTTGATTTCAAATGAAATTGTTTATTTCATAAAACATAATGGAAAATGTCAAGATATTGCAAATAACTCTTATATCTAAAAATACAGTTTTAAATCAATTACAACAAAATTTAAAATACATTGATTTGATTTCTCATTTCATTTCTCTTTTTGACACTAACTTTTGAAAAACAAATTCTGAGAACAAAGATGAGAATTAAAATATGTCTTTAAGCTAAGAAATGATAATAAAATAACATACACTAACATATACTTAGTTGTTTGTTTTTGTTTGGTTAGACTAAAAAGATAAAAAGGAAACAAACTTTTCATGCAAAATTCAAAAGTTATTTCTTAAAAAAGTTTCTATCATAATTGCTATGACAACAATAATCATTTTTAGTCAACATATGTGTCCCTTTTATCAATGATAAACAAAAACAAAAAATTATGTTTTGTGGTGTATTTTAATGTAATCGAATCCAAAGTTTAAAACTTTGTGCAAACAGATTATCATAAGCTTTTTATTATCATTATTGTTCATTAAATTACTGTCGGGTTACCACGAGAACTGCTCTAGACATCAGATTCTCGTGCAGGCGGTTACTGTGGTTGCAAAGATAATAGTAGAGTTCAAATGGTGGTGTGGGTTTATCTTTCGCATTGGTTTAGTTTTTCTCTCATTAAAAAGGGTTTTATTCTTGTTTCCACAGCAGCAGACAATCTCTGACTTTTAGTCGGGATAGTTCTCCTGAAGAGCTGAACAGTACATACAAATTTTCTTTCATAGAGTAGAAAAATCAACATATATCCAAATAAGCAGAATTAAAGAACTCCAATCGGTTATTCAAGATTGAATGTTCCCTTTTTTGCTAACATTTCTTATTTAAAAATGTATTTACTTTACTAAATTAATTTAATAGTATAATACTCCTATTAACTGTATTCTAGTGTGTTCTGTTTAATCAAATGTAAGAGATTTGTTGCCTTTAATAATAATAATTACTTTAATTATCGTAGTTAATATTAGTTTTAATTTAGTTAAGTAAATATACTCCATTTGACTAAATAGCTTACATTAAGAGGTATTTTGAATGATTTATGAGATAGATTATATGATATGATTATATGATATTTTATAGAGCTATATGGGAATACAGAATTAAATGTAACAATTGCATTATAGTAACGGAGAGTTTGAGAATGATAGAAGATAACATTGTAATGTGAAACATGATTTTTCAAACATGACATGGAAATACTTTCCAAGTTTTTAATTGGGTAAATGTTAGTAAAACGTTAAAGTTTAAATTTGATACATTTACATATTATTAGATATTATGTTAGGTCAGATCATGATAAATGTTTAGGAAAATAACGACATGGGATCAGTTCGAACACAACACACTCAAGTGATTTTTACGTATTGCTGGCTTTTTTGATATAATGTACTCTGACTTTTTTTGTAACAAAATGTGTATATTTTAAATAATAGATTTACTTTCCAGCAAATTTGAGAATTCCAGATTACATTTTCAGTGACTTCAAAATTCCCACTCAATTTCGAAAAAAATCCCCAAATATTTTCAGAAAATTATCAATAAAATTTCAGAAACATTTTAGCTATATACAAGACTTTTTCATCAGAAAAATATTTTTTACCAAATAAGCAATAAAACTTGCTTTTTGATCCAAAATATATAAATAATTGCATTTTTTAAGAAACAAAATTTAACTAAGCGAAAGTTTAACAAGTTAATTTCTATAATACACAAATAAATAAATCACATGTAGGCGTAATATTTCGTCCGAGAACTCAAGAAATAAATACAATTATGGAAAATTTAATGCATTGATAAATTGCTTGGAAAATGCTATTTTAACTTATGTAATAAAGATGTCTGAATATTAATAGAATTTCTAACGTGACACTTTTAATGTAACCAAAATAATTAGTTACTTTTGAAGAAACGTAATTTGGAGTTTTGTTGTTAAACATGGACGAGGATTTTAGTTCAAAATTAAATGCTATTAGTTTTATTCCTGATCTTCCCTACTTAACTGACTAGCATACGCCATTATTTTGATCAATTATACTGGCTATACTGTAAGTTATTACTTAGATGAATTATATTATACTGTCTGGCTATCACGAGACGACCCTTCTATATAACTGAAAGCAAACTTTCTGAAAGCCCATCTCATAATTGCCAAAACATATTTGCTTTATTATATTATTATTTTTATCAGTATATATATATATATATATATATATATATATATNAGAATATATATATATATATATATAAAAAAAATATATATATAAACTTTGCATTACATTAGTTATAGATATTTTGTAAGTTATTGTTTTGTTTCAATATAGCTCCCACAAAGTTTTACCAAAGACCACATGAGGCCGATAACGGGCTGTTTTTCTGGGAGTGGTTTACTTCAGTTGTGTACCCAAATGATGCAAAGGGACATATGCACCCCCTTAAGATTTTTTTAAAATTCAAATGTTCTTTTATTATATTATTATTGATATCCTGAAGCTAAAGTTTAAAAAGAATGTGAATTATTTTTTTCCTTTCTCCTACTCAAATATTTTCACCCCGTAGAAAAAAAAATAGTTCCATATGAAGTAATTCCTGAAAAAAAGAATTTAAAAAAATATATTGTGTCTAAAAAAAAGTGCCTTAGAATAATTACTAGCAAAACAGACTAGACTAACTGCTAAAGAAGCGTTTCAAGAGTTTAACGTAAATTATTTTTCCCGCATATCTATAAACTTTTAAAAATTATAGTCACCTTGCCTATAACAACCTATACTGCTGACGGGTCATATTCAACTTTGAAACATTTAAAAAACTTATAGAGAAGGTCAACCTGAAATGCATTTATAAGGAAATTTAAGCCCCTTTATATCTTTTTTTTTTAAATCATTAAAAGTGTTTTTTTTAATGATGCAGGATTTCACTGATTCTGGAAATCAAAACTTTTAGCTATCATGATATTTTTTTTAAATGATCTTTATTTGTGCAATATTTTTAGAAATAATATTTATTCTTCTTGTGCTGTTTTAAACAAAGGAAATAAGATCGATATAGTGTATTCTCTTTAGTTTTTACCATCAAATGATGCTTTCAATGACAATATGCACTCCTTCCCTTAAAAAATTAATTTCTGACTGCGCGACTGCTTTACAATCATTATATAGGACAGTTCAAAACAGTCTGATAATTAAACTTACAGTTTCCCAAGACAGGCCAATCCAATGTTGTTGCTAAATGAGGCTAAAACAGAGATCGTATTATTGTTTATTTTTTACAATACTTTCTTTAATCTAACTTCTTTGCCATACATAGCCCATTAAAGCTGTAGCTGACAAGGAAAGTTTATGAGAATGCAAAAAATAAAGGAGTTTGAATTTTTATCAATTATTTTCTATTTCTAAATGGTAATAAAATTATGAACTATATTTTATATTTTAAAAGTGAGAAAAAATAAAACTAAAAACAGATATTGTAAATAGATTCATACTTTATGTTAATATTGTTAACTATTTGTAAATATCATGAACTATACACAAGAAATAGATCTTAAGTTCTTGTAAATAATTATTTAGAATTTTACAGATTAGTTTTCCTTATAGCCAGGATTTTCATTATAACCAAGCAAGTACAAAGATTCAATATTAGTTCACGTTCCGTACTTCTTAAGTCAGTTATTTGAGTAATATTTTTATTTTAAGCTTTTATAAATAAGAAATGTTAGCAAATCCATTCGTTTTCTGAGCCTATGACATGGATAAATAAATTTAAAACTTAACAACTTTAATCACTCATTTCAATTTTCTTTAAAAATTAAAAATGAAGGCAGCGTACACAGTTCTCACATTTGAATAAACAGACCACACTAGAATATGGTTAATACGAGTATTATAGGTTAATGGAAGAAAATTTTTTAAAAAAAACACACACACATAAGGGAAAACTAAAAAATGAGCTTTTTTTTAATTCCCCGTTGAAATTATGAAAAAAATTATAAATTATTTACGTGTGGTAAAAATAATAAATTAACGAAGAAAATATCTTTATTTATATATTTGCTTTAGAGATTTACAAAATCTTTAAGACATCTCCCAATTTTTATCTTTTAATATTAAGAATGCAAACAAACGAATAATTTAATAAGAATGCAATAACTAAATTTGTTCCTATTGTATTCACCAAAAAAAAATTTTTTTTAAATAACACAATAGTCATTGCAAAGTAACTTTTCTAAAAGCTACAATTTAATAATTTTAGGTGTATACCCAACAGTATTATAACTTATGAAATGCTTCTAATTTAAATCGCAGAATTTCTATTTAATTATTAATCTTGCTTACAAATACACTTTGACGCCCTTTTATAAATTTTTAGTATAAACATAACTAATTTATGATCTTATTTGCCACAAAACACAGTAAAATAACATACACTTATAAATTAAAACAATTCAATTTTATCTCAATTTCCTCACCAATTACTGGTTTTTCCTTGGAAATCTTATTTTTGAATTTGGTGCACCAATTTACATACTTTTAAGAAGCACATTGTTACTTTATAGACGATTTTTATAAAATAAGAACTGATTTTTGAATTAATAACAGAATTATAAATACATTTCAATCTCATATTTGATTTTTTTTTTAAATTAAGATTTCTAAATATGTTAATTTGGACCTACTTTATTCTATGAATAATGTATTCCAAATTTGTGAAAACTGCAAATGTATAAAAAAAAAGGCAACAAGAGCTATGTACATATAGAAAAGAACTAATAAATGATAAAATTTTGCTTGTTACAATTCTTGAGTTGATCTTTTTAAATGTGATTCAAAATAAAAATTTGTATACTGTAAAAAAAAAAATGCATTATTACTATGCTGAATGACTGCCCACTTATTTTTTAGAAATAAAATTCTCTTTTGGCTAATTTTTTTTAAAACTATTTTCACATAATTTTTTACTATATCGTTCTGAAACAAGCTTTTTTTTTTTTTTACAATATTTACAGTGCGCCAAAAATCAACTATATTCCAAATATTTTGCTGTTTTCATGACTGTTGTGAATTTGTAACAGTTACTGACATGACTGTTAAATCAAGTTTAGCCTAACTTTAGTCAGAGGCACAATGCCAATTTTGAAAATGGTGCAAAACATCAATACAAAGAAAAGATACAGTTAGTTATGCGAAGATGAAATAGGAAAAATGTATTTGATTTTAATAATTTTCTTCTTGGTGGCAAAATATCAATTAATTGATGATTTTTAAAAAGAAAGTTTAATAACTTTCAAAATATTTATGTTATTTGTCCGTTCTAGAGCCCAAATAATTCTTTAGAGTAAGATGGCATTCACAGTTTAAAATAATAGTTTTGCCTCAAATATAAGGCATTTAAACTGAGCCTCGGCGAAAGTGCTTCGAAAAACCATGTGAATGACATTATTTTCACGCAAAAAGTTGCCAATTTTAATGGTTCAAAGGAGTGAATTATCTTCAGATAACCAAATTGTCTAGTTGCATGTAAAAAAAATCTCGATTCGCTGAAAAACATCAAAAAATTTGGACTTTTGACTGTTCTTGTGAACAAAATATTGACAACATTTTCCAGACTGCAGCATCCTCCATTTTATGATAGTCAAGAATTCAAAAATATTGAAAAAAAGGGTATGTTTATTCAGAGAAAGTACGCTTTAGTGTGCAGTTTTTAAACTTAATTAATAGATTGGTTAGCACTAATTAATTATCATACTTCAAGTCAACCCTTTGAATCATTTAAATTGGCATTGAGTACATAACAATTCAATAATTAGAATAAAAGTTATTTTGGGTAATATCCTTATTGCTTACCGCATTGTTTAAATAGAAAGTACGTCATTGTCATATTCAGTAAGACAACGCAGGGTCAAACAAGGAATCCTGTTGAAGACTCTGTAAATACAGTCTATTTCTAGGTCTAATCTTGCAGTCAACAGAATCAAATTATCGTAGTTTTGGCTTCGCGTTACAACAAAGACGTTCTTTACAAGAATACTTTTTTTTCCCCATTCATTCTAGGAACATGAGAGGTTCAGTTCATTCTTTTAATTTTAATACTTTCAATATTGGGCTCTTAAAAATTTTATAAATTTGTGAATTCAAACGTCTTGCTAAAGATCATTGTGTTTGACACCATCAAAGGATGCTTCTAAGAACCTGTCTCCAATCTCTACTTTTAGTTAAAGATTGAATTTCGGAGTCATATATTAAGACAGACATAATGAAAGTTTTATTGATAAGAAACCTTCACTGGAAAGGACCAATGAAAGTTATACTGATAAAAAACCTTCATTAGGACATGCCAAATAAAAGTTTTATTGATACGAAACCTTCTTCATTAGAACCTGCATAATGAAAATTTTGTAGATAAAAAATCTTCTATAGGACCAGCCTAATAAAAGTTCTTTAGGTAAGCAAACTTCATTTGGACCAGTCTAAGGAAAGTCTATCTATAAAGATAAAAAAAAACCTTCACCAAATAAAGAAAATTTAGATAAGACACCCTCATTAAGGTGGATGATGGAGAAAGTTTTATAGATAAGAAACCTTTACTAGGATCAGCCTAATAAAAATTTTATACATAAGAAAACTACATTAGGGCAGGCCAAATGCCATAACATTTAAAAAAAAATTAAAAGGCATTTGAAAAAGAATAAAAAATCATATTTTGTTTCTTTATCAAATGATACTTTAACTTAAATACTATTTCATGGGCTGAAAAATATATCCAATTTTAACCTACATAAAAATATTTTATAGCAAGTTTACTAACAAGTAAACTAACAAGAGGATTAGTTTATTACTAATAAATTACCAGGGTTAGGAAATATAGCATTAAAAAACATTTTTAAATTATCTTCAAATAATAAAATATTACTAACATTAAGTTCAAAATAAATTACTTTAAATTGCTACATAAAAATAAAATTATTAATATAAAATGTTATTAATTCACAAATTTTATTAATTTATAAATTGATTCAGATAAATGTAAAAAAATGAATAGTAAAACTTACCATAAAAATCTTAGTTAATTGATACAATGTATAACTTTAAAAAAAAAATTTATGGATAACCAGTAATAAACAATGTTTATAAGTACAGGTAGTCCATATATAAGTTGTCCCTGACCATAAATCAATCTATGAATTCAAAATTGATTTTAACTAGTTTTTTAAGCTTTAGAAAAGTACAAAGTTGAACATCATTGGTAGCGTTATTGTTTGAAGCTATATACTGAAGTTGATATTTTAAAATAATATATGGTTATGCATCACAAATGTAACAAAAACTAGGAAATATTAAAAAAAAATTTTAAAAAAGGGCAGAAACATAGAAATATTTCATGCCTATATTATAAATTTGTAGAATAAATATTAAATAATGACTCAATATTAAAGCACATAAAAAATTTGCATTCATATTCTGATATAAAATAAGTTAAAATGAAATTTCATGTTTGGAGCAACTTATGAACTACCATTGAATAATAATTTTTATATCATAAAAGAAACATTTTTCCATGTGCCTTACTAATTCAAATCCATTTTTAAACCAAAAAGGGTTTTTATACCTCGTAATTTATTTAAAAATGAAAGTTAGGACCTGAAAACTATAAGATGATTCCAAAAGTCCATCATTTAAATTAATTATGTGATCAAAATTTTTCTTTAATTTTAAAATTGTTTTTAAAAATAAATAAAAGCACAGAAAACTGCTTTTATAACAAATTATAATAAAAGATTAACTTGCTATTAACTCCTTAACAGTCGCATTTGGAAGAAAACAGTCATAAAAGTGCCGATATTTTTTATTCTTGAAAATTAAAAAAAACTAAGTTTATGTACAATATATGTATTCATTTTTAATTTTTGTTAATTTTTAACGTTCATGTTTGATGACTGCTGACAATTAGTTTAAAATAAACTATATCTAAACACACAACAAATTGCTTGGTTTTAAGATCTGAGGTATAAATGGAGAAATAAACATGATTCCAGGCATAAGAAATATATTGTTTTAATATTTTTAGTGCATTACTTTGGAACACTCCAGTCTGGAAATATCACGGGCACAAGAAATAGAGAGTGAAATTTCACCCCATTATTTTCACGGAAATGAGAAGGAAGGAGTTAATACTAAATTATTTATTTTAACATATTTCTCAAAGAAAAGAAAAATTATTGTTTTCATACATTAAAAAACAAAACAAAAAAACAACTTTAAACAAATTTTCTCTAAGTAGTAAAAAAAACATTGTATAGACTGCTATCATAGTTATATCCCAAAGTCAGAAACTTCTGCAAAGATTTTCAACATCAGTGGAAAACTTAAAACTTATCTACAGAGCATGTGTTAAATATTTTTATTCATATGTATATTAAAAGGCAAGAATCTAACATTACAATGCTTGGCGACTAATGCTGCACTACTAAAAGTACTTAATTAATTAAACGAAACAATACTAATTAACAAAAAATTTAATAACAGTAAAATTAAAAAGTATTCTTGGTTCCTATCATTTTTAGTTTATTGCAATAAATGAACACTGAAGAAACTTTAAAAAAAAATTTACTTATTACCAGATAAACTAAATACAGTTTATATTCCTCCTGAAATAAAATACCTTTGGATTTCAAACAATGTTTAAAAACTAAAACACAACATAGAGAAAGTCTACCAAAATTTTTAGTCCCATGGACTTGGAAGTTACATCCCTTTCTTGCTAATTCTCCTAGGAATTTATCTATAGTTTGTTAATGCAAACTCTATGATAAGGAAAAAACAAGAATATTAAGAAAGCAATTGTTATTTTTAGGTAAACTTAGTTTTGTTTGTTAAAAAAATATTTAAAAAAAACACAGATTTACGTGATTTAAATTACTTTTCTTTCTTCTTTTTTTGTTTGCCAACCAAACAATTGAATAAAATGTATCACTACTACTTATTATAACTTAAAAACAATATTATAGCTAAATAATAATGTTTCTTACTAAAGTAGTTAAAATTATTTAATTATTGTAAACTAGACACTGAATAAATAAAATCATAATTAATGTTGTTCAAACTTAACATCTACTTGAATTTTAAAGACAGGGAGGGAATTTGTTAATTAGATATATAATGTAAAGCAAATTAATTTAGGTCAAAAAGCATTACTAAAAGAAATTATTCTAAGTTAATCTGTGCAGAACACGTTTTTCTTAAATTAAAATACTTATATTGAAATTTAATAAGTTCTAAAAGATGTTCCATTTAAATTGGTACACTATATGAGTATAATTGAAATATATTTAAACAAGAAAGTCCTAAATTATAATGTAAATATTTCATGCCACCTTTAATATTTTTTTTCTTTTTTTTTTTTTTTTTTTTTTTTTTTTTTTGTCTATTTTCAAGTATAATAATTTGTACGCATCCTCTTTCATTATTTGTGGGTAAAAAAAAAAGAAACATTAACAAAGAAACGTGTCTTTTTAAAAAAAAATAACACTGTACAGAACATATTCATCAATTATAAGGTATAAAAAAATCTTACATTTATATTGGTAATTTAAAACCAAAAATGTTGTTGGTTCAAATTATTTTTTAAAGAAAAAATCACAAATGTTTAATGCTTATTATTAAAAGAAAACAAAAAAAAGTGACTCATATTGCAAATTTAACCATGCCAAAAATGTTATGATAATCACAAAATATTTAACAAAACAAGACCACTTTTCAGCAAAGCCATTTTATTTGCAATTTCAGTCAATTACAAATAGTATAAATGTCCATCACTTATATACATCAACACATAAAATCGTGTGATTATTTTTATCTGTAAAGTAAAAAACAAAGTTCAGATAATTTACATATTTCTGATATATAATAATTTATATACATTATAAAATTTACAATTTACTCATCACTTTCGTCAGCAATGTTAGTTTGTTTCGTTGATGAGGTATCACAATGACTATCATTTTGGCCATTCACGGTTTCTTTTGTCCTTCCTTCCTGATCTTTTCTGCCAGAGGGACTATTTCTAGATTTTGATAGTTTAGTCCTTTGCAAAGCACTTTCAGTAATATTTAATGAGGACTGGAGGCCATCTTTCAAGTTGCACAGAGTTTTATGCAATCGATCTGCTTCTATTCTTGTTCTTCTCAAATCATCTTCGGAAGACCGCAACTTCTGTTTGTGATCTTCCAGGTCACTAGAAAGTTTCTGAGACAGCTTTTCTTTCACATTTGTACTCTCATTCAAATTTTCTGAAGAAAATTAAAAAAAAATTTCAATAATATGTTTATTGGATTATTGCAAAGCTGCCTAGCTATATTTTAAAAAATACAATATAGCTTTACTTTTGTAATTTTTTATTCCCATTAACAATCACATTAAATAAAGTATGTTTATAGAACAAATACATTTTAATCAGGTTTCACCAAAACCCAGGTTTTTTTAAGAAAAAAAACCCACCCATATAAGGTTTTTATGAAGATAAAATAAACAATTTCGCATATGACTAAATAGGTTTTTTCAGTAATGAATAATTGACTAATTAAGCATTCTAAATTAATAAATTTTTGCCTAACTATGGGTTTAACATTAAAATTTTATATTTAAGCAAAGATATTTCTGTAAAAGCAGAAAGTAGAGTAGATAGAAAAATCACAAAATCAAATGGGATATTTTATTCTTATCTTTTAAAATACTAAAAAATGTATTTCCTTATACTTTGTTTAAAAATAGAAGTCATGATATTTATTTTAAAATAAAAATTTGTTGTACATCATGAAGACGTATATCTTTTTCATGTGTTTTAACAAACCCTAAAGAGATTACAATCCATTATATGCAATATGTGTAAAGAGTATATATATTACATATAATCTGTTTTATAGATAAATAAGTGATGTATGTATTATAATTTAGTAAATTATTTTTTACCAAGTACAGTACAGAACCCGTTATCCGGAAATCAGAAAACCGGAAAACCAAAAAACCGGAACGAAATTCGATAAATTTTCCCGCAATTAATAAAAAAAAATTTTTTTTCCTCATAGGATTTTAGGATTTTTCTTTCTTTTTTGAAAGATGTTTACCTTACCATCATTTCAGAAATAATCATTAGTGTATTACCTCATCGTTTTTTCTTATTTTTAAGATTATTTCCAAATATTTTTTTTTTTAATTGGGTTTAAATATCGCAAATCAAAT